TGCTCATGTAATAAATCAAACACAATTGCACCTTGCCCACCTTTTTCCATTTTTGGAAATTCTTCTTTATATACACTTCTATATATAACATGAATAATTAATCAGAAGCTCAGAATGTCCCCATAGTGGCTTTCTCAGCCTATTTATCGTCTTTGGATGCCATCTCTTTCTTAGTAAAAACACAGCCAAGACTGGTCACTTTGTAAAGACTAAAGGTCAGTTTTATATTATTGGATACAGTAACATGAGTGCACATGCGCCACATCATTGTAACTTCTGTATTGTTAGCCAGGCATGGCTGAAAGGTCAATATAATAAAAATAATAAATATATATAAATGTATAATGTTATGAGATTTAAGAGATTTGTTTTTGTGTTATAATTTGTTGTCATTCTAGAATAAAAAAAGCATAATTTATATTTATTTCCTAATTTTTAACATGGTTACGAGATCAGTCAAATCTATCAAACCTGTATAGAGATTCGCTACTAAAAATAAGAAATAAAGTATAAGATTTTTTCTTAAGATGTGTTTGATAACTATCTGGACATTATAAAGATTTCACATGTGAAATTTGAAAATTTTCTGATGCACAAAAGTATTTTTAATCTTAAAATGAAAATTACTTTGCATGTTGGATAGGCAACATGCAAAAAAGAAAAAAATAGGCATGAGAAAAACATTGCTTTACAAACCATAAGACTTAATAAAAAAAAATTTGACATTTTGTGTATGAAAGCATTGTAGTGTTTACTGATAATCTGCCAAATTTCGTTAACATACTAATTTAAAAGTTATAGCATGAAAACTATAACAAGCACAAAATGGTTATGAGGTCAGTCCCAAGGACCAAGCCCATGCTAAAAGAGTTAATGTTCTTCCAATGCTCCGGGGTGCTTGTACCATCCTGGAGGAATCATTCCAGCTTCAGTGGCCCCAATATAATCCAAAAGTAAAGAAACTGATATGATATTAACAATATATATTATCATTGAATCATGAAAATAAACAAATGTTCATCTATCAACCTACTTCAATGAAACTGTTAAAAATAAAAGAGTAGAAATAAGTAATGGAAAAAATTGCACAAATTAAGTATGATGTAGGGATGGCAATGGCAAGAAGTACAGAAACAAGGTAGGGATAAATACACAGTCGTACAAAAATCCCTACATAAGTAGCCAGTAAGTAATGAGTCAGTCTTACAAGCTTATAGTTATTAGACACTTTAAGCCTGCATAGTGCTATTCAGTTTAAATGCTTTTATTCAAACCTGAATTCATGCAATTGACAGGAATTCAACATTTAGTTGTAGATAAAAATTATTCTTGGAAAGATTTGGATACATGTGTGGTGATTTTTGTATGGTGTGTATTCATCTCTACATTGTTTCTGTAATTTTTGGCATTGCCATCCCTATTTAATTTTTGCAAAATTTTTTTATTATTATTTGCAGTATTTCTAATGACTGAAATACTGCATAAATGATTTACAATTTATATTAGAAAATGCTTTACTATAACAAAGAAGAAAACAGTATCCAGCAAAGTACATTAATAAATCTTTGATTACTGACAACCTTTCTGGATGTCTTACAATAATGCCTCCCAGACTTAAATAGTATATTTGGCTTATTATACTAATTTTTTCCCTTTTTATTTATGTTTATGATGTGCCCAATGATTGTTGTAAAGTATGACAAACAAGCTTTGTTTGAAACTATGTCATCAACTTGTCTCTAGCCTCTGAGGAAATGCTTTTCCATTTTCTTCATAGAATTAATACTTCTAGCTTGGATTGTAACATTAGCTTTGTACACTAACTAAAGGTAATCTCTCTCTCTTGTATCATTCTTTTTTTTAATATGGTAAAAACTTTTGTATGAAAAAGGCTTAGGAATATTAGTCATTTAGTTATAAACATCAAAGATGAAAGAAGTATACAGTCACTTTATTGAAAACACCCAGTTATAAAGATCAAACTTTTATTATCCTGAAAACCTTGCCTCAGTTCACATAGTTTTAAATAAAATAAATTGTTTATCTAAAACCCCACAAGTAAGAAGTGGCATATCTTTTGTTGTTGTTTTTTTCAGGAAAAATTGTGACCCCCAGATGACAGCCTTTGAACCTGAAGCTTTAGGTAATTTGGTAGAAGGAATGGATTTTCACAAGTTTTACTTTGATATTGGTAATTTCAGCATCTGTTTATTTTTTTGTTATATATCACTTGAATGTACAGGGTATCCCAGAAGCCTGGACTCATTGGGAAAAATACACCATTTTTTCTCAATTTATTTATTATTCAAATTACATACAATTAACAGTCATACACATATCAATCTTGGTATACTGTACCATCAGGCTATTTCCTTTCCTGAAATATGTAGAACTGACATTAAAAAATGTGTTTGTTTAACTTTAAGAATATAATGTCTATTTTTCCCTATGGGTCCAGACTTCTCGGACACCCTGTATTTGCTCTGTACCTGAATTTTAAAACTATTAATGTAAAATTTATATCAGGATATTGTTAAAGCTGCCTATTTATTTATTTAAAATTTTATTCGAATCCTTAAAATGTAGCTTATTTAATTTTGTCCAGCTAAAATGAGTTTGAAAAAAAAAAAACTGTAACCATGTCTGGATATGTAATTACTTTATTAGTATAAAGTGTGGTGGAGTTATTAGTGAGGATCACTGTAGTATAGAAAATTTAAATTTAACCCGTACATGAAAAATTGCTTCAATTAAGAACTATATAAACATTCTCAGTCTTCAAGATATAAAGGAAAATATTTAACTGGTTGGATAGTGATCATCCTAAAAAATTGAAAGTGTGGAGGTGTGAATGGTGTGAATTTGGAGGCCTTCACATTTTTACTTTATATCAGTTATTGCACTATTCAAGAAGTTGTGAATTTCAAAAATCTTGTTGCCATTCTGTTGAATAATTACTTGTGTCAATAAGGTCATCTTTATTATATGTTTTTTTTTCTCTCTCATGCTACACCTCATTAGTTTTATTCAATAATTACTGTGTGTGTGTATTTGATGGTTACTACTTAAGATGAGAAAATGACATTTTAGAACCATAAGATATGATAATTTTAAACAATTTTAGTTTGCTGACAACTTGAGTATGTTGTTAAAGAAGCATTCCACAGTTCCCATGTCCATTTTTGAAGTTTCTTATTAAAACGTTTGAAAATAATTGTTGAAGCCATTATTAGGGACAAGTTAGAAAGTATTAACCAGTTAAAAACTACAAGCTATAATCTGGCATCTTTATCATAGCTGCTGTTCTTATTTGAAGTTGTGATGTTATCCTAGGAGTGGAGTGTTTTGTTTCATTGTAAGGAACATTGTTTTTCCTGGTTTTCCATATACAACTTTGTAAATGATCAATCCTTGTGGAAAAAATAGTTTCACAATAGTAAAAAAAAAGAGTGAGTATTTTAAGTCATTTTTCCCTCTTTACTTCTGGACTATTTGAAGCGGTCAGGGATGTTATTTAAGAGGGGGATAATATGCTATGGTGAATGGACCGTGAGATTACACATTATGAAAGTCCTTGTATTCCTGTGTGAATGACTTGGAAATAATTTAAAAGAAGACTGGCAAGATGAGGGACCAAAGTGAATATTAGAGCTAGTATTCAAATAGTATCTTGTGTTTTTGATACCAATTTCAGATCACAGGGATCAACAGAAAAATAATGTTGAACATTTGCATTTTGTTCAGAAGGGTGCTGTTGTGTAACAAAAATATTTTTTAACCTGCAAATAAAATGGTTGTAAAAGTTATTCTAAGAGAGAATGCAAAGTAGATTCTGATTCTATATGAACATTCTGACTTTTTTAGAGTATTGTTTCTGAAAAAAAAAAGTAAAAGAAATGACAGACTTTTTTCTTCATTTACCATAATGCTAAGTCCACAGTTTTGATTAAATTTTTGAACTCATTTTTAGCAGAAAAATATTTTTGTACAGTACATCATGATGTATCATAATTTTTAAGCAGTACAAGTTGAGGAGGAGTTAAATTACAGGAGTCAAAGATAAAAAAATATGTCCATAATGAGGGAAAACTTGTAATACTGAGAATTTGGGCTAATCTCCAGAGCAAGTACAGGCTTTGGATGAAGAAAAAATGGCCACAAGAAAGAGGCCACAATTTCTTCATCTAAGAAAGCTTTGAGGAAATCTAGTGGTGAATGGTTTTTCATCCAAATTCAGCTTCATGTTTTGTTGTGAAAAGTTCATGTCAGTCTCTCCTTCTTCAACTACTTTCCAAGCTAATTTATCTTCACCATTCTCACAATCTCTTCCTGCCCCTACAACTATCCTCTTCCTCTTGTTAGGTCTAGATCCAGATCCTGCTTTTCTTTTCCTCATGGTAGCACCACTAGTCTTTCCCTTGCCTTTACCTGTACTCACACCTGAAGGGCCTGCCACAGGACTCTTCTCTCTCTCACTTTCACTAGATCTATCTAAGTAAAATTTTTCACATTCAAAATCATCATCATCATCAAGATCACTGGGAATAAAATCATTTTCATGGCTCAGAAGTTCCTCATTTAATTTCCTAGCTTGCTCAGAAGTAAAGTGACGAGGGCTACCAGAAGTAGTGGGCATAGTCATTTTATTTGTTTCAAAATAGGGGTTCAAAAAACTCATAAATCACTGAAACCATGTCGTTCTTCTATCAAATTAGTGCTCAGATTGAAGAAATTTCATCAACAGAAGTAGTTCTAGTAGTATATTGAACATATAAGACATTCAAAATGTGGGATTGATCGTGAAATGGAACAAGACCTACAGGGTGATATATTGGCAGCTCATCCAAGTAGGAAAATGATCACACCAATATATTGGCTGCTTAGAGAGTTGGAGGAGAAAGAAAATAAACAAGAAGAGAGACTAAAGCAGTAGTTGGAGGAGAAAGAAAATAAACAAGAAGAGAGACTACAGCAGTGGTTGGAGGAGAAA